ATGAGTAAAGTATATTTACAATAATATATAATAATATATATGGAATTTAATATTATATTATAAAACTTATAATATATATATATATATAATAATATATAATAATATAATGTAAAAGTTCCTAGAATCGTTTAAACTGAGAATGTTTCGATACGTCAAAATTTTCAATTTATCGATTCTAAGGAGTTTTCAAAAAGTCCTTAAGATTTGAGGATAATTGCAAATATTTCGATACGTCGAAATCTGCAAGTATCGAGTTTAGGGATTTTGTGAAAACTTCCTAGAATAATGTAAAATTGCAAATGACGCTATACGTCAAAATCTGCAATATATTGCATTTAGGGATATAATATATTGTAATATATATTATATATAGTATATATTATATATATATACACATTATATTATAATTATACAATTGTAAATGTATTATTATAAGGCCTAGTTTATGCTGGCAATAACTGTTAACTTATGCCGGAATCGGTAGAGTTTAACTATAGGATTTCAATGCTTCTGTTTATACAAAATTGCCGAATGCGTATATTAAAATATATATATATATATTTAATATATATATTAAATAAATTAATTAATTTGAGGAGAGTAGCCTGATGTAGGAAAACTTGATTGATTTGCGAATTTTGTATTAGAAAACTTTTTCACTTTAAGCCTGTTCTACATTGATTGGAAGCGCAAACGCAAGGAACAGGTCTGGTAGAATTGACTAATCGTATTGATCAAATCAGCCAATTGACCAGCGTGATTGGTCAATTCTACGAGATCTATTTCTTGCGTTTGCGTTCGCGATCAATGTAGAACAGGCTTTATGCACAGTAAAATTGGGTGCGTTCAGACAACGGTTGAGAGATCATCACTTATGATAGGACTATTCTTCAAAATCTACAGCGGTTCCACAAGTATGACCCAATCAGAAGTGATTATCTCTCAACCGTTGTGCAACTGTTGAGTTGTCTGAACGCACCCATTCTGTTTTCAAAGTGAACGCAGTTTAGTATTTGCAGACAGAAACCTTAGGTCTGTTCTTTTTATCTGAACTGGCTACTTTAGTTCAGAGTTTTTATCTTTCTTCTTCCAATGTCGAGTGAAAATGGGTGCGTTCAGACAACTCAACAGTTGCACAACGGTTGAGAGATAATCACTTCTGATTGGATCGTACTTTTGGAACCGCATCAGATTTTGAAGAATAATCCTATCATAAGCGATGATCTCTCAACCGTTGAGTTGTCTGAACGCACCCAATGATGAACTCTGGACTAGTGCAGCCAGTTCAGGTAAAAAAAAAAAAACAAACTTCTTGACCAAAGTCACGTGGCTTTAGCAGTGAGCTCGGAATAGAACCATGTCCACGTTTGAACATAACGTACGTACCGACTAGACGTTTGCGGATATGGCTACGTAGTTGCCAATATGCACCACTCATGGGCATTGGCGCTGGCTTGCAAATCGGAAAAGCGATTACACGTTCTCTTGTAAGGCCTGGCCTCTCTCAGTCTTCTCTCTCTGTATATATTTACACGTCGGAACGTTTTCGGATCATATGAATCTGTCACATACGTGTACTGCCGGAATTAAACACATTTTTGGTTTTGTAGATTTATTTTTAGATGCCTAATCGGCAATTGCCGTCGCGTAATCGAAAGAAAACTATATTTTTTTTAGTTCTAGAAGAAAATTTAAAAACTTTGCGCAATTATGCTGAAGGCTGTTATTTTAATTGGAGGTCCCTTGAAAGGTTTGTGCGATAGAGAGATTTACTTATTTTATTTAAAAGAAAGAAAATGTGTGTAACAAAATACTTAAGATTATTTAAAACTGTCACGCAATGTTAATTAGGTGACTATAGTTTTGTTAAGCAAAAAGATATAGATTTTTCTAAGTTTGCGAGTTACATTTATGTTTTTGTATGTTTTTATATAGGAACGAGATTTAGACCTTTGTCCCTGGATATTCCAAAGCCGTTGTTTCCTGTGGCCGGATTGCCTATGATACAACATCACATCGAGGCTTGTACCAAAGTTCCCGGTCTTAGCGAAGTTTTGATAATTGGAGCGTATTCCAAAAACGATTTGGCTCAATTCATACGAGAGATGTCAACCACATATGGTATAATTATCAGATATCTGCAGGAGTTTACTCCTCTGGGAACAGCGGGTGGCATGTATCATTTTCGCGATCAAATACGTTCGGGCAGCCCGACGTACTTTTTCATCATGAACGGAGATGTTTGCGCCGATTTTCCTTTGCTGGAAATGTTGGAGTTTCACAGCAAGAAGCAGGCATTGCTGACGGTCATGGCGACGGAGGCCACTCGACAGCAGTCTTTAAATTACGGCTGTATGGTTTTGGGAAAAGATGGGGAAATAGCTCATTATGTGGAGAAACCCTCGACGTTTGTGTCGACTCTGATCAACTGCGGAGTATATCTCGCGTCTCCCGAAATCTTTCAAACAATGGGAGATGTGTTTCACGCTAATCAGCAGCAAGAGAACATAATGTAACGCTCTCGCATTAATCATTTAGTTTTCTGATCTGATCTCGCAAAATGTTGTTTGATGCAATTTTGTTGGTGTTGGAATTCGCAGGCAGTTGTGCTGCAACGGCAGAGATCCGGCGCACATAGCGTTCGAGCAGGACATACTTACGCGTTTGGCGGGATCTGGACGATTGTTCGCGTTGCCCGTATTCAGATGGTGGTCGCAGGTAAAGACCGCGGGTTCCGCTATATACGCCAATCGACATTACCTGGCTCTTTACAAGCAGAAACAACCGAGTCGTCTCTCCTCCACGAGCAGTGATTCTTGCAACATCATAGGAGACGTATATATTCATCCGTCAGCTACCGTACATCCAACTTCTATGGTAATACACATGGCGATGACTTTTTTCAACACTGTGTTGACATTTATTTAGAAAAAAACGTCTAACTCCTTTCACACAGCTAGGTCCAAATGTAAGCGTAGGCCCGAACACAACCATCGGACCTGGTGTTAGAATCCGAGAGTCAATTGTATTGGCCAATGCGCACGTACAGGCCCATTCTCTCATTTTGCACAGCATTATAGGAACGGGCACCAATGTGGGCGAGTGGGCGCGCGTCGAGGGAACTCCTTGCGATCCGAATCCCAACAAACCGTTCGCGAAGATGGAGAATTTGCCGTTGTTCAACGTCAACGGAAAGCTCAATCCTTCCATCACGATACTTGGTAAAAAAAAATTAACTTGTTAACTCGACTTTTAACACGCAACGAAAATTTATACATACAGTTCTTATTGTTTATAGGCACTAGTGTGAGCTTGGCCGCGGAAAAGATCTTGTTGAATTCGATTGTTCTTCCGCATAAGGAGCTGACGAGAAATTACAAGAACGAGATTATTCTTTGACTTATCCTCCACCGTCACACTGCTATATAAATGTAAAAAAGAGAGACTGCTATTTATATTAACGCCGTGTCTCGACCGCGGAAGCCTAACTAACTCTCGGGCTTTTGTTGCCTTCTGATCTTTTTTTATATAAAAAGAAAAAAAAGGTTGTGTATAAAACTTTTATAAACGCGTATTAGCGACGCAATGTGATCCTCCGGTGATCATCCGGTCGACGGAGGTACGTATGTCACGAGGTGTACAAATGACTCAAAGTGATGCACATGTAATTTTTTATATTTAACCCAGGAAGAAAGTCCTTCGCGTACACGGATACAAGTTCTCCGATCGAGTATAAAATTAACCGTCATTTACAACATCCTGTCAATCTCGCAAATGATTTCAAAATTTATGTAAATTCGGACGTAGCTTTAGACACAGAATTTGTCTTTGCGCGCGAAGGACTTTTGATCTCCGGAAGTGTTGTATTATATAATATATATATATATATATAATATAATATATAATATATATATATATATATAAATTGTGAAACACACAATAATTTTGTGATATAAAATTACTACAAAAGCATTTTATATATATTAAAGCGCGTTTTACATGTGCGTCGTGTAAGTTACAACGAGAAAGCACAAAGTTTTTGTATTATATATAAATAGTCGTGCCACGGAATTTGTTTATGTATATAGCAAATATATATACATATACATATATACATTATATATTTGTACATATGAATAAATGAACATTTCTAAGCAAGAAATGACGGAGTTTTAACGAGATCAAGAGTTAATCCTACAGGCGATCCCTCCCTCCGGTAACGCGTTCCGAAGGAGAAATAGAAGCTTTTCCTCCCTACGCGCGTTGGAGAGAGAGAGAGAGAAAGAAGGGCCCCGTTTCCCTTCCGGAAGATATCGGATGATGCGCCGCGGAGAGAGTGGACGGAGAGCCGCGAGGAGGATCGTATCGCGGCGATGCCCGCGACGTGGAGAGAACCGAGTAACCGGAAAAAAAATCCTCCGGAGAGCGTGTGGTGGTGGTGGACTCGGTCTCGCATTCCTCACCGGAGGCGCTGAACGTTCGCGCGAGCGAACGTGTGCGAGAGCGACAAAGAGAAAGCACCGTGATGAAATAGCAGCCCCGCATCGAGTCGAACCGAATCAACAGGTACATCAACTGGTTGCGGTATGCGTGGGATGACATTGTGTGCTCGCGAGGGCTTCGTGGTACAACGCACACGGGGATTTGCCGCGACAGCTTTTTTAAAAAAGATGCGGCATGCCGCGAGCGGTCACCTTAACGGAAAACAACGATGCGGAGACGAATGCGGCGACGACGCGTCCTAGAGAAGAAAGATCAACGCGCGAAACAAATCGACGAGCTACGACGGGAGAACTTGGGACGACGATTCGAAACGAAGAGTGGAAAAATGCGCGTTCTCTGAAAACGCGCGGACGGACGAACGGACGGACGGGAGAGCGCGGGCGAGATTCCGCGCATACCTGCGCGCTCGAGCCTACTTTCCCGCGAGCGGCGCGGCTACGACGAGGGCATCCAGCATCCGGATCGGGAGAGTGATTTTTGTGATAGCCGCTCGGGCGCTCGTCAATGACACGCGCGGAATGCGCTGAGCGAGCACGCGATCTCACGCTGCGCGCTACAAGCGGCGGCGCCGCCGACATTGTTGCGTGTTTTCCTTATTGCTGCGCTACTGGCTTTTAAAAAACAAAAACAAAAAAAAAAAAAAATCGTTCGAACTCACCGCGAGTGAGTGTGCGGGTGTGCTTGCGGATTTTTGAATGCGGCGAGCAAGAGAGAATCGCACAAATCGCGCGGATCTCGCGAGAGAGAGAGAGAGCGAGATGTCAGTTTTGTCTACGGATACACACGTAACGGATAAAACACTAAATCCACTATTGTGATCCATGGTACAACAAATTATTGCTCATTTGCATTTGTATAAGAATATTTTTTTTAACACGCATCTTGTGCAATACATGTGTGTAACACGAAAGATATTAAAAAAAAAAAAAAAAAAAAATTGGTTTTAAAAAATATATGCATGTATAAATCTATTTGTTAAATAAAATTTCACAAGCAAGAGGACCAATAAAAGTAGAAAAAATATATCTATATTTATAAATATATTTTTTTATAAGAAAAATATACCTATATTTTTTACCAGTAATTTTACAAAGATATTTTTTGCATTTATTGTTGTTTTCCTCTTGCAATTTTATTTTGTACGACAATGTTTCTTAACTAAACGCTTGTGTGTGCGAGTGAATGTCACTTATGTTATGTTTTCAGTTTATTAAGTGTGCGTAAGTGGATTTTGACAAGACTGAGATAAAGAAAGAAAAAAAAAAAAAAAACTGTCAACTATTCCAAATGGGCGATAAAAGCCCATTATGGCCCAGAGTCATCAGTCACATCAGCATGAATTTTTGCCCTTGTGTGATGTGCTGTTTAACATTATCTCATTAGCGTCTTACTTCTGCGATGTTGTTTTTGATTTTGCTATGGTATACGCCCTAGCTCATCAGACAATAACACCGCCCATATTGTTTCCTCTGAGCATCACTTTCATAGTCACTTCGCTAATTATTTCCCAGGTTGGTATCTTCTTTATATAACGAATAAAAGATTTTATCTCTTGTTCGCGCATCGCGTGTTCTTTATTAATTTATACTTGTCATAATTTTTGATTGCAATTGTCTTTGCAGATTGTCAGTTTACGATGGTATCTATGGGGAGCCAGAGGTAAATTGACAAAAAACACATTAGACGATTGCGACGTGAGTCCGGTGAAAAAGATTGGCAACTGGACTGTAGGCTGTGTTCTGTTACTTCATTCTACTCAAATCGGTGTTCTATGGAGATACTTCAAGTTATTTATCCCAGTGAATTTAACTTATGTGAAGCATGAGGCAAGTGTTTTTAGCGAGAAAAAGAATCTTTTAATCAATCAGTTATTTCTTTCATATTTCGCGTCTTTACATTATACATTAGTTTCTGTTTTTCTTTCAGGTGAGAGAACTTTGCGTATTGCGACTGATACATGCGTTTTGTGAGGCCGCTCCGATGCTGCTTCTGCAGCTTTACGTGTTGCTGGGCGCCGCCGAGGACGGTGAGATAGTAACCGGTAAACCAAAGGAAAACGAGAGCAAGGACGGCAGTAAACTGGCCAAATTGACGTTAGTGTCCGCGGGACTTTCCTTGTGGAGTGTGTGCTGGGCGGTGGCTAGTTTCAGCAAGGGTGCCGCGCGTCTTCGTAATCTCGAACGTTTGGTACTGACATGGTTGGGAGTACTGGCGCAGTTGTTCTGGCGTTTGGGTACGGTGAGTGCTCGTGTCGGGGCACTGGTTGCTTACGCTTCGCTCTACGGCGGACAGTGGCTGTTGATAGTGATGGCACTTCACTGGTTGTCCATGTTGACGTGGCTCTTGCTCACCCCCGACGGACTGTTTCACGGCGGCGAGCGGTTGCCGCTTCTGAGAAAGACTTTTCTCGCTTCCGTTCTAGCATTCGTGTACATATTCGCGTACGTTAATCTGCACGAGACGAATCATCGTCAAAAAATGGTTAGTACACGTACGTGCAAAAAAAAACGTGCGTTTTGTTTGTTTGTCACGTTTGTGTTTCACAAATACGTTCAGAAATTTGTGTTTTTTTGTGAATCTTCATATTAAAAACGTCTTCTCTATGTTATTTTCTCTGCAGGTTATATTTTATACCGTAATGTTCTTAGAAAACGGCTTACTCGTCGGCGTGTGGATGGCCGGCGTTAATCGCGCCGATCTGTTGCCTCATCAGCATCATCTACACCCGGTTACTCTAGTACTCGTTATTATAGCTTTGTTTTTTGGTGGTATGTTTTTCATGGGCCTCTATTACAGGTAAGTCAGACACCGTGTAATGTAATATCGTCAAATACGGCGAGATTGTAGTCTTGTAGTTGATGTTTTTTTTTTGAACACCTGACGATCGTATTGCAAGTTACCGTGGTGTTGCAGATTTTTTCACGTGAGGAGATTGCGATATGAAGCTGGCGGAAGAATGACCGGTTCAAATCTCACCACGCTGTCCAATCAGGTAACAATGCAATTTGTCTTTTTCTTCAAAAGAGAAAGAGACACCGTTGTATATGTGAGTTAAACGTTCGAAATTCTTTCAGGACAACGTGGAAGAGAAACAAGCGGATTACAACGAGGAGAAGAAGGTCGATATTGGCATCGGGATGAGAAAGATGAAGTTGAGCAACGGCGGTATACCGGGCGTGTTCAATTGTCGTTTCGCGAACCCGACCGCGGTTAATCCGAATCGCAAGAAGAAGAAACCGACCACCTTCGTGCCTCCGCCGCCGCCACAGTCGCAAACGGGTAGCGTGATGAGCTCTGTGACGGCGGTGGGCGACTCGAAACAGTGGCTCAACGTGGCCAACGGGTCGCGGCAGCTTATTCCGTTCTGGAAGAAGCCCATTTCCTCTTTCAACATAGTACAAGTAAATATTCGCAACGTATCTTTTTCGTTAATGATACGTTGTTGCAATTTATGAGTTGCTATTACAACGTAACGTTGATGTAACTCTCTCTCTCTCTCCGTTGCAGAGCAACGTTTCGAACGAGCAAAAGGACGAGACCGACATGGCGGTCGGCGGTTCGTTGAACGTCACACTGATACGTGAGAAACTGAAGGAGAAGAAGCAGCAGCAATTGCGCGAATTGCGAGCCATACAGGAAGAGATCAAGGAGGGCAAGTTGTTCCCACCTCCGTCCGCTTCAACGTCCTCGTTCTCGTCCTCGCCGTCCGCGTCGAATCAGCAACCACCGCCCAACACGAAGCTTCACACCTCTCCGAGTTCTCCTCTGTTTACGTCAACGTCGATTCCCGAACAAACCAACGGCGGCGCCCTGTCGTCCTGGCCGCCCGTAAAAATGCACTGTCTCCTACCTCCGCCGCCTTCTTCCCCGTACTATCCCAATCAACATCCCTCGAATTTGTGGAGAGCGGCGCCGCAGCGTGAACGAGCGGACACGCCGGAGATATTGCTGGCTCCGCGATGTCTGTCGCATCAATATTCTCACTGGTCTCCGCCCGGACACATCATCAGCCACAGGTAATAGAAAATTTTCTTGGTACGTCTTGTTTGTGCGGCCGGACATTTTAGATCCGGATTTTTTAGACAGATGTCAAATCAAGTTTTTGAACTCTCTCTTCTCATCTGTTCAGATTACACGCGAATCAAAACGGCATCGAGGAAAGTTCCAAGGGTGAAGGTGAGGGAGAAGCGGGAGTCAGTGACATGGAAGGTAGCCAGGTCTCGTTGCCCAGAAGCTACACGCTCCCACGTGAGTTCAAGTACAATCATCCGAGCGTCGCGCGAGAACGTCGCGCGGGAAATAACAAGTTGCTGCCCTCACGCTTTTATTTACCGTCCACTAACAGTTCTGACGGTGAGCTCTCTGGTTGGCTTATATTTCTGGTTTCTTATTTCGTTATCTCGTCTCTTGCGCGTTCGAGAAGATTTTGTTTCTTTCCTCCCCGTGTTTTTTTAACGTAGCCAACCGAAATGTTTTCCAGGCGACGTGGACAGCGCCGATAACGAGGACGAGACCGATTCGGAGGCGCAAATTCGAACCAAGATCACCAATCATCATCACGAGATCTTGCAAAGGGGTCACGTTTACGAGAACAACGAGAGAAGCAACGACAATCTCAATTCGAACTGCGACGCGGCCAACGTCGCGCCTAGCAATTGTTATCCAAATAATTCCTACAGTGCCTTGCGTCCAAGTCAATTGTTTAGAACCCGAGTTAAACACGAAACGAAACTTTAAGTTATACATATTGTGTATGTCGATAACATATATATATATATATATATATACATAAATTATAAAATAAACGTCACGCTTTGTATTTATTCGCGCGCTTGCGAAGATTTTCCCGAAAAAACCAAATTGCTCCCGTTGAGAAAACAAAGCGTCGAAAACTGCAAACGCGATCCCAATGTTTGTAATTTCTTAAGACGCGACGGAGATTTAGAATCCGTTTCCCTCGTAGTTTTAAGTAGAAGAGTTGGCGACGCAGAAATTGGTTCCAGTTTCTCAAAAAAAAAAAAAAAAACTGGACGCGACGCGTCTCGATCGACTGGACCAATTCGATATCGCAAAGACTAAATTTGTAAAAGCGTTTTTCGCCGCATCTTGATGCAAAGAAAATTTTATGTACGCGTACGTATGAATATCGCGGGCTCGCGTGAGCTCGTTTCCGCGAGAAGAAGCACGTCCGATCATTTATTTCACAGCTACGCGTCACCGGACGCATTTTTGTGATGAGCGACCAAAATTATCGATGAGCGACCGTCCATTGGCTCACCGGTGATAATAGCCGCTTCGACATCGGCGCCGTCACCTCGCAACCGCGTTTCTTCAAGCGCGGAGCGGAAGGAGCGAAAACGAAAAAAAGCAGGGAAGAGAACGCGCGGAGGACAAGGCGGGCGAGAATGAGGGCGAGACATCGTTGGAGAGCTCCCGAGAGGAGACGACGAGCACCGCTGCTAAAGTCAAATGTCGAGTGATGCCAAAGTTAAATATAAATGCGGACGGCAAGAGAGAAAGAGAGAGAGAGAGAAAGGGCGAACGTCGCGACGCCGATTCTGGATCGATGATCCACCAGTCTCTCCGTGGTCCACGCGTCGTGATCCACGTACGGAGAGAGAAAGAGATCGACTTCCCTCTGTTTTTTTCGACACTTTCGATCGAAGGTTCCTCGCTCGCGTTCGGTAGTTGCGAGTTTTGCAGTGAACTCAACATCCAACGACTAGAACCGGACTTCTCTGGACTAAGATTTTATCTATTTCTTCTCCTCTTTTTCCCCCTTGGGAGAATAAAACAAATCTAGCTCGCGTGTGAGGTCCAGATCCGCGTCCCGTTGTCGGATCGTATCGAGTATTCCTGGATATTTAACGGTAAGTTACAAATCAAATTGTTCTCTCCCTAAGTAGTTCGCAATCTCACCCCCCCCCCCAATTGCGCCGATCATTCAAATTCTCAATCTCCGTAGCGAGCACTCGAGGTTGGTTTCTAGACTAGAGCGAGCGAAGTAATTTTTAATACGACGATCATTTTTGTATCGATTATTTTTGTGTGCAGCGTGTGTCTCGAGATAGAGAGAGTAAATTAATGAATCAAATTCCCTACGCGAGAAGTCTCGAATGAATGAACACTACACCGGGATTGAGTCATGGCAAGATTCAATTTACTTAACAGCAACGTATTAGCGCCCGCAACGCTGATGCCGATGATGTCACGTTGCGATAGATGAGGATGGAGGTTCCAATAATAATTGTGACCGGCAACTCGAGCGGTGCGGAGAGGCAATTCTCTCTCTCTGTCTGTCAGTAAATCCATTCCGAACGCCGACTATTTCTGATCATCAATTCGGCAGAGAGATCTTATTTTTGGATGCAGCGTCCGAGGTCCAGGATCCAGTGAACCGTTAACACACAACTGGCAGAGAAAATCCTCCATCTGTGTGTAGAATTTCTCCAGTAATCCGTCCGAGAAATCGCTCTCTCTCTCTCTCTCTCTCGCAAATTTTTTTAGTCTTTTATTTTTCCCGCGAGCTAGGTCGGAACTTCTCGGTGTTTTTTTTTTTTTTAAACGTTCGCTCGTGATTTTTATCTTGATTTTTATTGCACGCGTGTATTAACGCGTTTCTTGCGATAAAAAAAAAAAAAAATCCCGGATTGGCGCGACGAGCTGTTTACGCGAACGCGGTTGCGCACTTGGGTATTTTTCCTAAGCTACATGTATGTATGTTTCTGCACGTTACTGCGCGCAAGAGTTCTTGCAAAGAGTTTAGTAATGTTCGATTGTTGTTGTTCCGCCAAGCTTTTTGTCTTTCGCATTCAAATTGCAACAGATTAATTAATCCATCACGCGTGCTGATAATATGATATGCAATTTCAAGTGCCAGAACAAAAAGACATTGAAAAAATTTCCTTCAGAAAAGCCGACGACTTGGATGATTTTTTTTTTTAACTTGTAAAACTTGGCAAATTTTTGTGAGCGAGATGAGCGAACACCAAGATTATCACCAAAGACTCTCTTTCATGTTTTTTACAGTCGAGTTTGAAATCCACGTTCTTCGGGAGATCGTCGTGCGTTGCACAATGTTGCACGAAAACTATAATACAATTCTCAAAGAGAAACTGACTGTTTTCAATATTTATATCTCTTTTGGGACAGGACGGGAAAGCTTCAAACGTCACCCGTGTGTGCGGAATTTTTTTGTCAAACAATAATTTGAAGAAGGACAAGTTGTGCACAAATACACGAGCGTTCCAGTGACCGGATTTATTGAAAAAATAAATGTACCAAAGTATTTTTATCCACACACACACACACACACACACACACACAGAGACATAACGTCCATTAGAGACTTCTAATGGACGCACGTAACTAGCGTGACGTCTAATGAACGCGTAATGAAGGTGTGAGAATGTTCCGCGCGGATATAACCGGGGAAAAAAGTTCTTCACACCTGGACAAATTTTATATCCGGTGATGGACGATAATGATACACTCGGAGATCTTGTTGTTTTTTAATTATATACAATTATTTACAATTGCGTGTAAAATCTGTCCACGTATGAAGGACACGTGAAGGACTTTTCTTCCCGTGAAGTTCAAAGTCATATTGTTTTAAAAATACTTAAGACACCAAATTGTTGCGTTTGACATATTGACACATCTGATAAAATTAATTCTCTTCAACAAATGTGATATTTAACAACAATTATTTCTCTCGAATAAAAAATTAGTCCGGTCCCAATTGAGACGTTTGTTTTGTTTTTTTATTGTGATTTTTTTTTTTAACTTCCTAAAGTGTCGCAATTTCCAGTCGACAGTCTCTCCCGCAAGATCGTGATTTTATTTTCGCACAACGGTGCAAATGTACATTTTTGTTTCACAAGCTACGTTTAATTGAAAATGTAAGGCTGCGTTTTTTTTTGTTTTTTTTTTGTTTTTTTACTCGCACCTTTTAGAGTCACTGAAAATCCACACAATTCGCTCTTCGTGGATTCTCAGTTTCGCTGGCGGGATCGCCGAGTCGGATACACAGTCCAAACCAGACGACGACGACGACCACGCGCGCGCGACGATGACGATGATGATTTCCGAGCCGTTAATTTGCGTGTCAAGTTTCCGAATTACCGACGCGATCGTCATTTCGCGAGAAACGCATTTACCTGCCGGCAATTTGGACGCGTGTGTGTAGTAAAAACGACCTGCCGTGTCCCGTTGATTCTCGAAAATAGAAATAGCGCTATATTTAACCGGCCTACGCTACTCGGTATCTCTCCGACGACGATGGTTAAAAAGAGCTTAGCGAGATTTTTAGCCTTCGGTCGCGCGCTATCTATCTTTCCAGACTTCCTCTTTCGCGCGCACGCCACAAGCCGTAAAATTATACCTGGGCGAAACAATGGGGGGATTCGCGAGGGGACGCGTTACAGAAATACCGCGAGGGATAAGGTGAAAGTCGGCTTCGGCGACTTCAAGACCAGCCCAGCCCAGACATCGTCGGGTCCGACTCAGCCGACTGTGAAAAATAAATACCCAGATAGCCCCCCCCCCCCCAAATGTGAAAACTCAATATATAAAGCAAATCATTGTATATAGATTAAGTTGCTCGCCCAATTGCTCTTGTGTTTTTTGTTATTTAAAGCAACGAAAATGTTCTTGTCAATTCAGAATCAATATGCTGAGTTTTACCGTCAATCAATTGTTGCAGCCAATGTTTATGACAAGTGAGCAATATGTGAGTCAGCAATATGTGAGCAATATATGTGGGCAATAATTTTTATTCATAAGTTGAGAAAAATAATATAAAGTTTATATTGCCGATATGAGATTGTTGGAAACTTGCTGTTGTTATATTTTGAAAACTGTTGCTGGCAAGAACATATTGAAAAGATGATACACCCTTTTGTTACATTGCTGAAAACATATGAGCAATATTTGTAGCAAAAAGTTGCCAGCAAGTTGCCAGCAAGTTGCACTCAGTTGGCCATCTGGGTAATTGCGGAAGCACACACGGACGGGTTTTTTTTACAATTTTGTTGTCTACATTCGCAAAAGATTTTTTTTTGTTTTTTTATTATACCGTTTCGACATCGAGTGACGTCATCATCAGACAATTACCGATATTGTTCGCGTTTACAAGACGCGATAAGACGCAGATCCGACGATTAATCGATACAGATAAAACGATTGGCACCCACGTTGATGCAACGCCAATGCGACAATAAACATTGATCGGTAGCGGTACGGTAGCGACGAAGATAATTACAAGATATATATCGACGAAGGCTATTTCTATGCGTTGAGTTGACACGTTCGATACCGTCTGGCTGAAGGTAAATAGACGGTCTGTGGATACAGAGACTGTCCATTTCCGATTGCCAAGATCTCTCTCTCTCTCTCTCTCTCTCTCTCTGGTATCAACGAACTCTAAACAACCGGCGAAGTCTTCGCGCGAAGACACACAAAGAGAGAAGACTCTCTCTCGAACGCGAGAGTTTCTCGAGGCGCGAAAATTGGCGAACTAACGCGTAACGCGTTTGGAAAAAAATTATTACGTGACGTCGGTAAAAAAAGAACGTCGTAAATTCGAAAAAAAAAAAATCATTTGATGTTTTCCCGATTGTTTGGATTCGTCCAGAAGACTCGTGTCTTCTTCTGCTCGCCCGTGTATCTCACCGTGTGTCTCCAGCCGCGGTCTCCTCTCTTTTGCGCACGTTTGCGATTACGTGACTCTCTTGATATTGCGGTAATTATTATTACATGCGAACGCCTTCTTTCTAGCGTACAAGAGTTCATAGGTACACGTACGTGCGATGGTAGCCTATTTTGAGAGACTTTTGGCCAAGTGCCACGTCGAATAGCTGATGCTATTATGCGATCCCGAGTTAGTTTAGTTGGTGTCTTTAAATTTCGCTCATTTGTAGACTCTCTCATTTGAGTCTAAAAATATTTCTTTACTACCGCTGTCAGTCAAAAGCCGCGTGATTAAAGTTTCGAAAGACCGAAGGTCCCTTTTTTGTCGTTGACGCCTTTTTCGAGTTTGATTTTATAAGCGAATGACATATATGCGACGTCTTCATATTTTTTTTATTTTCCGACAAACCGAAAATTTGTCTTTCTTCTTTGCAGCGATGCTGAGCTGTGAGACGCGAGGAGAAGTTAAAAGCCGTCGGAAGTAATCCGAAATGTCGCAACAGCATCCGTCGAGGCCGCCCGGAGGCTCCGCGCCTCCGGGCAATTGGTCGGGACGAGTTAATGCACCGAACGCGCCCAGTCCGTTCAGGCCCGCGTCTCCGTACACGCCCTCTTCGTCGCCGCATCCGCAAGCACGGGGTCCTCCTCGCGGCGGACCTTCCTCGGGTCATCCGATGTCACCGCTCACGTACCCCGGCATGATGATGCACCCGATGAGCCCGGTGCCAATCGGGATGCCGATCTCGCCCGGGATGTCGCCCGTCTTCGGTTGTCCCACTTCTGGTTACATTCAGTGCCCCAGGCCACGATGGCCCTCACCGACTCCCACAACCAGTCAAGCACCAAGGCCGTTCATACCGACTCAGGTATATATTTCATCACTTCTCTTGTATCTGCGTGTAAAGAGAACAAACTGATATATATATGTATAATGCCTGACATTGACATAATGTTAAAATATTGTAAAATATAATCTGTTCTACATCGTGAAACATTGCCGAGACATTGAAGAATCGTTGCAACGTCATTGAAAATAATAAAAGTACTGCGGGAATATTGTGTAGAAATATTATATCCGCAATATCTCCCATAGAAGACGTTGTACAAAATATTATTGTATATTATACCGCATATATATTATATATAGAAATGTTTTCACACATTGTCTAATATATTGGAAATATTGCAGACATATTTTTCAGTAATATTCTGTATCTGAGATTATAAATTTTAACAAACGCGAAAAAAGAATTTGTTGTATTCTGCACACACACACACGTACACGCGTGATTGCAAGAACATATGTGTAATTTGTTAGAAATTATCGTACGCAATGTTCTCCAATCTTGCGAAATAATGTCCCGGCAATATTTCATGTTGCACACTCGTACAAATATGAATTTTAACCAAATCAATTGATGTATCAGGCGGAAAATCATCATCGTTCTTCTTGCAGAGTTCCTTCAGAAGCGATTCGGCGTCGCCGTTACCGTGCGCGCCGCCCGAGTATCTGATAGCGCCTTACAGACCCGGTGATTACGAGTACGTCGGCGTGCCGTTGGATCACACGCAAACGGACGAGGAGAGCAGCGGTCCCAGCACAGCCGAGATTATCGCCAATCAGAGTCAGGATTACGTGGACGAAAAACTCGCCGAATACCAAGCCACCATTCAACAATTGCAAGGTGAGAAGAAAAAAAAAAAAAAACAATTCGCTTTGCGACAATTTTGTTCGCCTAGCGCGACGACGAAGCGGACCACACCCGGTGTTAGAAACAAACCGTATCAAGAGCTTGAGCTCTTATCTCTTTTGTAGAAAACAAGCGATTGTGTCGTTTATCCGGACGTGCATAAACTCTCATCACGGGAATGAATCACGTCGTTTATCTCGCTAAAAAAAAGGTAGTAGCGCGCGACCTTCTCATCATCATCATCATCATCTGACGCCGACGAAGTAAGTCGCCCATCTCTCATCGGGACACGGTCTAGTTTCACGTGCGTCACGAGAGACGACGCGAATCTCGAAGAAGAGAAAAGGACATTTCGAGATTTCGTCCGCGGAATATCTTGCGCAATTGGGGGCGCCTACTTGCGCGAAGACGGATGTCACAAATCGTGCGTGCGTTTCTCGTCGAATTAAATTGCGGCGCGAGGAAAATAAAATAGATTCCGCGGAGAGAGAGAGAGAGAGAGACGCGAACGGGTTAAAAATAGACGTGACGGACACCTGCCGCGCGCCATTCGCAATACGTTACGTTCTCGCTTTTCCCTCCGACCTTACTCCTCCTCCTCCTCCCCGTCGTTGTTGCGCGGACACAGATTCGCGCCTCGCCGATAGACTAATAGACCAAATGTTTCAAGATCATCTCTCGCGCGTGATGATTCATCCTAAGCGGACGCGAAACGCCTTGAAAATTGCGCTCCGAGAGAAACGGAATTCGCGGCGAGAGTTTTCGTCTCTCCCTCTCCAACGTCGTCGCCAACGCGCGCAAAAGGGGGAAACAAAGTTTTCGAAGTTTTCACGCGCGCAGTTGATTCATTCGATTTTTTGTTAAAAACAAAAAACAACTTCTATTTTAAGCAGAAAATAATCTAAAAAAACAAATTTGTAAAAATTATTCAAACGTTGCAAAAAAAAAAAAAAACAAACGCTTCTTCGTTTCGAAACGCCAACATCGGTTTCCGATAATCGAACGTCGTTTCAGAAACAGACTCGCAGAAAATTCGCAGACTCGGTCTCTCTGAAACAGGAGCAAACTGCAATTAGCAAAGGATTGTTAATACACGGAAAACGTTTTTTACGTGCGATATGGAGAAACAAAAGATCGTCTTCTGTTGATGAAGATGAAGCAACAACACACCACGTTGAAGCGCGAGGCGCTTCGAGAGCGAAACACGTGAGCGAGCGATTGATTTTGCCGGCCGGCTTTGCGTTGAATCGACCAAATTGCCAAGAAGACGTTCGTCGTCGAGTGACATATCAAAGAGAAACCGCGATTGAGAGAAGCGAAGAGAAAACGAGAGAGAAGAAAACGTCAAAAGAGAACGACGAGAAATGTGTTTTCTGTGTGTGGGAGCGAGGCGACTGGTTTGTTCGACCAGAATGAAAAAAAAAAAAAAAAAATAACGGCGGCGATGCGCATCGGTCCCCGATGCTATCGCGACGCGCCGCGCCGCGAACGACGACGGTGGGAATGGCGACGACGTGAGGCGGAGGAGAAACCAGAAGGTCTCTCCTCGGCGAGACTGGTCTCCTCCGCCACAGGGCCGGTGGTAGTAGTATCGAACCGGCGTTCGTTGCGCGCGGTTACCCAACGTTAACATTCCCCGTATTTGTACAATCCACATGCGCGCGATCTGTGCAAAACGTTCGCGTCGCGCATTTACGCATGTGACACGTTGTGCCCGGTGCGCACTCCGACGAGAATCAGAAATAACGCCTAAAGCGGCGGCGTTAGATAAAAGCCGTCGAAATTGTTACGCCGACGAAAAAATTCGAAAAAAACGGCCGAAGGGCCGTGTGTGAGAACCTCTCTCGTCGGAGGATTCTCGGTTCGGTGAAAGGCCGCCTTTCGTCGCCGCTCGTGCGCTTCCGTGATTAAACGGAGCAGGTGACGTCGACGCGAACGGGGAGTATATGTATAATACCACCCGGTGTATGGGGTGTGGTGTCCGGAAAAACAGGTGCCGGACTAACGTTCGTAGTTCTTGGATAGAAAAAGAAAAAAAATAGAATCGCGCGGCGCGTGGACAGTCGAGAGCAAGAGCGAGCCTCGCTTTGTCGGGGCTCCCGACAGAAGGGAATAAAATGACGTAAGAAAATCCCTCGGAGCATGTCGGGATCAACTCCACCCAGAAGAAGCAGTCCAACCCCAAAGGTGGACAACAACCCCGGCGGTGGCAATGACAGTCCCAGAACGCCACGTGGTGGCCGACTGCGGGATCGGGTGAGCTTCTTCGAGCAGGTCTGGTCGGCCGGGCGCAGTCCAAGCGCCGAGGAAGATCTTCTGGAAGACTCCGCGGACTCGCGCAAGTCGCCGTTTCGCGTGCCGACGCACCGGCGTTCGTCCTCGAGAGCGAGCGACTCCTCGTTCGAGGAGAGTTTCGAGCGACTCGTGGAGGAGGGCGAGCTTAACGGCGCGAAGATCGTCAAATTCGAGAAGATCACCGTGCGAAAAAGCGTGCGAGAGATCAGCTCGACTCGAGACGATCACGACAACGTGACGGTTAATCAACGCGCGTTGACGGAATCAAGCCGGACTCCAAGCGAGGAACACGCCTTCGACTCGGCCTATCAGAGTCACAGCCACGGCGGCGTTCACGGCAGCAAATCCAGCTCGATCACTTCCTTCACGAGATTTCCCTCGGAGGAAAGTCTGTCGCATCGAAGATGCAGCAGTCCCCGAGCAACGGCGGTCCAACAGCTGGACTTGCCGGACGACCGGCCGCCCTCGGAGTGGTACGCCGAGTATCGCAACCAGAGCTTCCAGAATGTCACCGCGAGGATAGAATACGTGCGCAGCAGGAGCGAGTACGACGCTCACATAGCTGAAATCAAAGGTACAGGGTTGTCTCACCCGAGAGAAACTCTTCCCCGTTGTCTCTCTCTGTCGTCATTTTTTTTTTTTTAAGTCGTCATCCTCTTCTTCGTCGCTTCTTCGACGCCCACACTCCGGATAACGGAGAGATTCGATCGATACACCGGTCGGAATGGGGGATCAACTCCAACGTCTCGAAATAATTTTTTTTTGCTTCTGTGATTTAAACGCGAGAACGCGCGACTGTTCGAAAAATTCGAACTATCGATTATCCGCATCATCTTCCGCAACATCTTCCGTATCCGTATTTAGGAAGGGAGTATCCGAGTGTGCGATCGGAGACCTCGCACCCCACCTGTTCTCATCCTCATTGTTTTAATTTTCTCCAATTATTTCTGTCTCGCGGAACTTCTTCTCTCATCCAGTTGGCTCTCTTCTCTCGCGTTTGACCCAACTGTAATAAAATATTTTTTTTCTGTACCAAATTATCTTTATCTTCAAATTAAAGCCTAGCAAAAAAATTTTCGCAATTGTTTTTTTAATTAACGCTTAAAAATTAAACGTTACAATTCTCACGCCGCCAACTTTTAATATCGATAAAAGCTTTGATACGAATCGCGGCTACTTCTAATGCGCGCGAACGGAAAGATTCACGCGCGCGCGCGCGCGCGCGCGTCAACTGCGTCGGATTTTTACCATACACGCGTTTGTTCGTAAACAAACGCGGCTATAATAACGAGCTGCGTATATAAAAAACTTTAATGCGTCTCTCCCAACGCGCGCGCTAGCACAATAGTTCAACGACGACGGCTCTGAGTTGGTTCAAGGTTTCTCTTTCATTTGTATCTCATCGGTGTTAAAAAAAAGTCTCTACGGTCGTGCGACACACACACACACACACACGCACGCGTGAGATAAAATTAAACGTTACTCAGCGCACAAGAGCTGATAAGAATACGCACAAAATATACAGATTGCAAAATACAAAACAAAGATAAGAAAACGGAATGCTCGAACACGCTGAACGCGGCGGCGGCGGCGTCGTCGTCGTCGTCGTTTACGTCGAGGCCGCCGCCGCCGCCGCGCGCCGGTTTGGTGACGAATTAATCGGTTTAAATTTCGAGAAGCGGTCTCTCATTAGCGAGAGGCAAACACAAACACACACCGCGTGGACGCGTTGCACGCGATGTGTATTCTCGTCTCGGGGGCGCGCGCGCGCGTTTACGCTAAAAGGTTAAACTCCCTCGTTTCTCGTTCTCTAATAATGACAGAAAACGAGAATTTCTGCGGCCAAACCCGTTGTTATCCGCGTGTCCGCAATTTCTGCAGTTTCGTCTGACAAGACACGTACGTGCGCGCGCGCGCCACGGGGTAATCATGCGATCATCATCGCGTTCGTTTCGTTTTGTGTTTGAAACACCAATTACCAAGCATTTACACAACAACAACAAAAATAAGAACAAACAATTTCGCGGTCAAACGCACGCACGCAATTTATGCGGAATTTTAATGAACGCTCGTGCTAATTAATTCCGACTTTAAATGCCGCACTCGTTTGTTTGTTTTTTTTTCTTTTCTTTTAAATAGAACTTGTGTTTCTCCGAGAATACAATTAGCGAGATCTGTATAGTTGTTACACTCATGCAATATTTATCTTTGTAGATATGTATATTACATATGATATGATAATAACGACGTAATAAAATAATATATTTATTGAAATAACTTTGTGAATTATATTGAAAGTTTAACCCTTTGTCCGCGGAAATCTAAAAACTGACCCGCGAGTTGAACCACCAGAACGGACCGGGTCTGTGAGACCCAGCCGTGTCTGAAAAATAAACTACAGACGTACTGTAAATAGAATATTAATATAAATATACTGTGAACATTACTACATAGTTGTATTATACGATTAATAAAATGTTTAATTCGCTTATTAGCGATCATGTGTGTATCGATCTGCCAAGTGTTTGACAAGCCAAAATTAAATGCCGCGATAAGACAACACCTTTCTCTATGAAATCACAGATATATATATATATATATATATATATATATACACATATGTACGTCTGATAAATCGCTTGCATTATAGCATGAATGTCAAGGCCACGCTCGGTTATCTCCCATCTCAAGATTGGCGTTTCGATTGACGCATACAATCGTTAAGACCGCTTTGCCGCTGGTCAGAAAACGCAAAAACTATATAGTAGAGGTGGGTCGAGCTAAAACATTGCCGCGTTCGAGAAGAAAAACGATTTGCTCCCAGAGATCGCGCGTCAACGCAGCGCGCAAAACATACATTACATATATATACACCGAAAAAATTGTATTCTTGTTTTGAGGATATCCCACTTATTTTAAGTATATTTTATACTTAAAATAGGCGCCAAGAAGAGTTTCTTATTTTAAGAGGAAAATCCTCTAAATAGTAATATTGATAAGAATATATACTAATTAGAATATAAAAAGCCTCTATATAGAAAAACATATATATCTCACTGTCGAAAAAGACTATATTCTTAAATTAAGAATATATTCTTAATTTCGGAAGAATATCATCTAAAATCTTTAAGAAGATTTTTTAAGTACACCGAAAAAATTATATTCTTGTAAGTAGAAGATTTTATACTTAAAAAATCTTCTTAAAGATTTTAGATAATATTCTTTTGAAATTAAGAATATATTCTTTATTTAAGAATATATTCTTTATTTAAGAATATAGTCTTTTTCGATAGTGAGATATATATGTGTTTTTCTATAGAGGCTTTTTATATTCTAATCAGTATATATTCTTATCAATATTACTATTTAGAGGATTTTCCTCTTAAAATAAGAAACTCTTCTTGGCGCCTATTTTAATATAAAATATACTTAAAGTAAGTGGGATATCCTCAAAACAAGAATACAATTTTTTTGGTGTATAAAAAATCTACTTACGAGAATATAATTTTTTCGGTGTATCCAACGCGCATTGAAGTAACGAGAGAATTTCGCGCTCAGCTTAGTGTCCGAGCGATTTCGCTTTATATTCAAGGACCTTTTCAGACGTTCGCGTTAAATATTTATTATGCGTTACGTTATAATATATTAACGACGCCGCGCGAGAAAAAATTCCTACAAGATTCATAGACGCCGAGAAAGAGGAAGGCCGAGACGTTGAGAATTTAACGTGTTCTTCTTGCTTCCTTAATTAAACGCTCGCGATTACGAGAGAGATAATTAATTTTTTACAATGTTTGTGATGACAAATTGATTGCACATTTTCGAACGAAACAACAAAACGGTTTTTTTGATCGCACCGATCTCAGACGATCACACTTGTGTGTCGTCGTTTTTATTTTTCTGTTTTGCACATGACGCGCGCCGTCGATTGCCGCCCATTTAAATTCAATGAACCGCGTTACGTAATCGCGCGCCACATTAGTGCGCGTATTCTAATGACATCCTTGATTATGCGGGACGTCATTGTAAGAATAACACGATGTAAAGCAAATCGCGTTCGGTTTATTTAATCGCTAAGTTTTTTTTTTGTTTTTTTGTTTCATAATTTATTCCGATTTGTTCCGCAAACTCTCGTCAAGATTTTTTATTTTACTTCAGAGCTTGTTTTCTCTCTCCTCGTGCGAACATCTTGTTTTGCGCAACTTTAATTGTTAACACACACGACGTACGTGTGTGTCCAAATATGCGGGAAATAATAATTTTATTGCGCGACTTTTAATTTTGACAAGCAGACACAGAAAACTTCTTGCTCCGACTACTTTCTGTTAAAAAAAAAAAAAAA